TCCTCTACACTGCAATATTTTCGAAATCAGTAGCTGCAGAGCTCCTTATGAAAGAGGTCGTCCTGGGAAGTATACCACCTTACCTATTTCTGCCGCCAAGCAGTAATGTGAGCATAACTAAAAAAAACTATGTTCTGGTTTTAAAGGGTAAAGGTGCTGGGGAAATTACATAGGCACATAGGACTTGTCAACTTACGTCTCAGGGTTAAGCACGCGGTAGCAGTAACCCTCAAGATCTCTGCGATTTAAGGCTTTGAGTCGCACAGCTACTGTTATGGATGGACGTGTCGCTTACCACCAGGCTCACGACTTGTTCGTCCAGTCACTTGGTATTATAAAAAAGGATTACATCCCGCCGTATGTCTGGATGTCCAATAGCAAAAAGAGACGGTCGAAGCTAATGGAACTCATGGGCACACACAACCAAAATAAGCTTGACGTACTCTATTCTATTATGAATTTTTATTACTTTGCTCAAAGTTCAATGTGACATCGATTATACTGCCTAGTATAAAATTATAACAATATCTATTTTAATAAACTGTATAAATATTTTGGTAACACACCAACCTACCCGTTCTATTATAAGCTAATAACCAAAGCGTTTTAAACTCAGTACTCTCATTGTTGCAGGGTCAGCGTGCCTGGTTATGCTGGGAGCCTCTCAGCTTCCCTCCCTGGGGGCGGAGGAGCCGCCTGGGAACGGCTCGGGGCGGAACTTGTGCTGTCTGGTCTTGTAGCTGCAACGTACTTTGCGGCGATGGAACGCAAATGGACTGGAGCTGCTCCAGCTTTACTGGGAGCTGCATATTGCGCGGCTAGTTTTGTTTCTGTAAGTATTTCAATTTGTTAGCCAACATTCCAGTGTAAAACCCTTCTTACAGTACTGCATGGTGTAACGCAATATCTTGTGGATTAATGACAAAAAATGTTACGATATCTTTTGTGCTTGGTTCAGCAAGTGTCCATTGCCATTCGGCGAGGCAATGCTGCCAGTATAATAGGAACTTTTGAACCGGACACGATACGTTTTTTTTTAGGTTACATTAGTTTTTTAGGTTAAAAATCTCTTGCAAATACCAGTTCTTTTGTATTTAGTACCTATTGACGAAGCCCAGTGCGTGAATCTAATCGGCAAATTTATATCTGCTAATTGGATTCCACCATAGAAAAAAAAAACATGAAAATAACGATATAAGGATTTTAGTAAGTCATTTTACGAAAATGCACAATCTACCTTAAGATGCTTATTATAAAGTCAATATTCGGGTGCCTTTCTACTTTTGAATATCATTTTTTTTTCTTTACATGTTGGCCATCACCAATAAGTATCACTACTACAAACTATTATTATTATTACTTATTGGATTATGCCTGAGATCCCTTAATAACAAGGTATTACCAATCGTTGATATGTACCTACTCCATGTATTCTGTGTTCACTCTTAACTGAACTATATATTTTTATCTACATATTGAATCGAAGAGCGAAACGGCTAAGGACAGACAGACAAGATATTGAATACGGATATTGTCCTCCTCCATACAATGTGAGATTACCTGCCTTTTGTACGATAGACATCTGCTGCGAACAGATGTCCAGAAAAGAATGAACGAAGACGTGCTCGCTATTGATTGCTTTGCAAGAGTTTTGATTATACACTTTTTTTCGATTTGTTCATTTTACTCTCATTATAAATTATACAAAGTGTAAATTTTTAAGACTGTGTAAACAGCGAAAGGTATCATTTAAAAAAAAATATTTTGACCCGTTTCACGATATTTCGTTCACAATTCTTACCTTATAATTCAAAGTACTTTGATTTAATTATTTAGATTTTTTTTTATCATATCAAGTGACGGGACGAAACTAACACTTTAAATCGCAAAGGTCTCTCTCCCACTGCGCCCGTGCACCCTGAGACATAAGTTGATAAGTCCCGTGTGCCTGTAATTTCACCAACACCTAAAAACCGGAACGCAGTAATGGCCACATTAATGCTTGGCGACAGAAATAATTAAGGTGGCAGTACGTCTCTGGATAAACTCTTTCACAAGGAAGAGAACTAAATCTCTACTACTAGAGATTTAGTTCGGACGTTCGGCAAATACTAAGAAAGAAACATATCAGTAGGTACAGAACTATGTTCTAAAGTCTGAGTATTGCGTATTAAAACTTTAATTACATTCAAAATTCTAATGTTTTACTTGACATTTTAGTTTCTGTTGCTCATCAATTCGCTTAGTGCAATTAAAAATATACTTTTCACAATAAATAAATAAATAAAGAAATATGAGGCAAAATATATAAAAATTAGAATAAAACAAAAAGAAAGTATTTTAATTACTTATAACTATTAAATTTAACTATTATTACATAACTTAGTAATGGCTAAATATGTGTGAAATTAAAATTACTGAAATTTATGTTCAAATGTACCTACCAGCTAAAATTGTTTTGTAACGGTTTAAACCGTGACCAATGTCTAAATCAAGTCTAAACAGAGCCCTACTCAAATCATATTGAGAGAAAAACACCTTGAATTGGAGAAATAGCAAAATCAACCATTTAAGTAATTGCTCCTAAATTAAAGTTAGGCGCTATTTATAACAATTAATCTTCATGCGTGAGCAGCCACCCTTCGAAGTGGATGATTTTCTTCAAAGTGAAATGGGACCACTATGGAAGTACCCCCTTTCCAACAAATAACGAACATACAGTCGAATTGAGAACCTCCTCCTTTTTTGAAGACGGTTAAAAAGAGCGAAATGTCCAACGTTACTATTTGAACATGGCAAGGCGAAAATTTAATTATATTTATTAATTGACCGACTTCAAAAAAGGAGGAGGTTCTCAATTTGATTGTATTTTTTTGTATGTATGTTACGCGATAACTTACGCGATATGTGAACCGATTAAGACGATTCTTTTTTATTGGAAAGAGGATACCTCAAGAGTGGTCCCATTACAATTTGTAGAAAATATTCTACTTCTAAGGGTGGCAAACTAGGAGATTAATTACTATTGAGGTCTGTTTTTTAACTATACTGATATTATTACTTATATATTTGTGATTTTAAAATGTTTATTGAATGTCACGATGTGTCACAAAGCCTACAGATTTGTTCGATTTTGTCGATCGTTACTGTCGATCAGGTGTCTACAGATATGCTCGATTTTGTCGATCGTTACTGTTGATCGACAACGACAAGTGACAGGAATTTTCAAAAATTTATTTTTGGTAATCCTTATGGAAATGGCAAATTATATCTGAATACACGAAGGCGGACACGACTTTTCTCATTTCTAAAACCAAGATGGCGGACACGTCTTTTCGAATAAATGCAATATGGGTATCATTTTCGAGGTATTTGGGGGTGCTCATTACGAATATGGCACTCATTTCTAAATCCAAGATGGCGGGCACGATTTTTCATATAATGGCAAGTTGGGGATCGTTTTCGAGGTATTTGGGGGTGCTCATTAGGAATATAACACTTATTTCTAAATCCAAGATGGCGGACATGACTTTTCAAATAATAGCAAATTGGGTATCGTTTTCGAGGTATTTGGGGGTGCTCATTAAGAACATGGCACTAATTTCTAAGTCCAAGATGGCGGGCACGATTTTTCAAATAATGGCAAGTTGGGTGTCGTTTTCAAGGTATTAGGGGCTGCTCATTCCGAATAGGAATACATATTTCTAAATCCAAGATGGCAAAGAATTAGAAGAAGAAGAATTAGAAGTCTTATACCCCATCTTGTATTCAGATATACATGCCATTTCCTTATGGTTTACCAATAATACATTTTTGAAAATTGTTGTCAACCATCTTGGATTTAGAAATGAATGCTACATTCTTAATAAGCACTCTAAAACTCCTCGAAAACGTCTATAATTCTCAATCGTTACTGTCGATCGACAATATCGAGCAAATCTGTAGGCACCTTATTAAATACTACCCAATTCTTATTTAAGTCATATATGAACAAAAACCTACAAGCGACTTAAGTGCGACTATCGAATTTCAATATATAAATAGCCTGATATTATCTGTGGGTATGTTTATATGAAAAGTACACGATAACAATTAAGAACCTGAACCTGAAAGTTATTTATACGCGATTTTGGAGAACTGACGATGACTTTTTAGTCAGTGTTAGTTTCCTGAAATAATTTTAGTTAAGAACTTTTAAGTCTGTGCAAGACAATTTTTTTAAATGAGTGTATGATGAACAAGAATAATGATTTTTCACATGAAACTAATGAAGGCAAATACTAAATATATTTCGTAAAAATAGCTAACGTAAATTCCCTACAATGTTGTTGCGGCGGTGTACATTTGTAGAAATTTTGCAACTGTCGCGATATTGCCTATTCTCAAAAAATTACGTAATATAATTATTTTGAAACAGAATAGCAAAATGGGGAGAAAAACCCGTTACTTTGCAACATTTTCGTATCTTGTTGCAACGAAATTAATTTTCTGTTTTAGTGAATATTTAGATAAAAATACAAGTTGAAACGCGTTACTTCCTTGTGGAAAGTGATGTTAGTGTCTATTTTATATTTGTCTGATCTATTTTTAAACCTAATTACCGCACATTTCGTCATTTTCAGCAAAAATTTTTGAGCTGCTCGCCGTTGAACTTGACCTTGAGCACTGACAGCCCGCTCGCTCGTGTAAGCCCATAGGGCGTCCTACAATTTGCCTCACTTAGCGTGTGCGGGTTAGGTTTCTATGCGTTATTATTCTAAGCTTTTTTTTTTGTTTTTAATAACTTTTTGTCATCTGTGAGAAATCTATTTCTCCATTCAGCTCTTTCATACTTAAATATTCATCAAGGACTCCGTTATTTAAGTCTAAAGAGTACATAATCGTCGCTGACATTCTGTTGTAACTTTTAATTGTTAAAAACGCACAAATGTATTTATGCAATTAACGTAATGAGTACATAATTATATAAGCTAAAGTAATATATTTTCATTTCCAATATACGCCATGAGGCTTTTGTGAAACAACAATAGAGAAAGAAATCTGCAGGTACAGAACATTGTATGCGAATGCATTGTGTGAAGAGTGATCGCCGTATCCTTCCATTTCAACGGCACTTTTTTCGCTATTCCTGTTTTGAAAAGACATTGCGTAAATCACCAGTCTGGTATTTTTTGTTTCGGCATTCTGCATTCATTTTACATCAATGTTGCATTTTAAAAGTTCATTTTGGCTGCAATTACGTACTACATTTTTATTCAACTCGCAAAATTATGTATTCTTTTCATCCCTCTCATGTTTTTTTCGAAAGTTTCCGAGAACTTGAATAACAACGATTACTTATTTATGTACTTCTACCGCACCGTTAGTTGAAAGGGCGCTTGTAACAAAAACTCAAAACGACTAAAATAGTGTTTAAAGAAATAAAATAATAAAATATTTACTTTTCTCTTGCGGAAAAATATCTACTTTTCTCTTGAGATAACTTCATACCTTATCCACATAGGAAAAAAAAATAGTGACAGATCCAAATCTGCTGAACTGCATCTATTAGCATAAAAAAAATATTCAATTTTATTCATTTTGCATGAAAAATATTTTATGAAATTTGACCAATTTCGGCTGTTCTGAATTTTTTCATCCAATACCACGAAATGATCCCTTTATGAAAATGAGTCGATTAGCACTAAAAAAATTAGATAAATTTTTATTCATTTTTATGGCCAAATCACGCTTGACCAAAAAATAACAAAAAAAGACTTAATGGTTCCTAAGACAGTTTTCTTGTATCTTCTATGGTTTCGGATTTCCCCATGCTATCCATACCTAAGTAACTTCATTAATTTTCTGTAAAAGGTTTTGCAACCAACTATAACTAATGAGTGTATTGTCCCATTTTCAGATGCCATCACTAAACCCAGCGCGTTCTTTAGGCCCATCATTCGTACTATCACGTTGGGAAAGCCACTGGGTGTGCTGGGTGGGCGGCATCGGCGGCGGCATCGCCTGCGCCCTTCTCCATGAATGGGCGTCGCGTCGACCACGACCAAACTCTAACTCGCGAGCGTCATCACCAAGAGATCTTGACGACCTGGACAAACCCGCCTTCCCGTCCCACCATCACTACCGCCACGCGCCTACATACTGCTCGGCATCAGCGCCACGACCAGATAACGCCGAACCGCTGTACTCTGGAACAAAGTCCCTGTACTGCCGGTCACCGCCACCAACGAGGCACACGCTGCACAGGTCAGCTGGATCGACCTCTCACATGTAACTATGTGTTGTGTTTACATAGTGTGAAATATCATAGCGTTTGCAAATCTAAATATTGTTTTGTAGCATACGCCTCAGTCGTTTTTTTTTACGAGCGAAACGCCTATACGTAGTGTTTTATAAAACTCGAGTCCGGGAGTCTGCATGTTAGGACTCGATTCCAATTCACAAGACTCGATTCATAAAGACAAACTCCACTGCCCGATGAAATACGAGTAGATCGAGATCCGAACGGAGAATGAGAGAGTACTTATACAGTGCGTGTCTCGTACTACGCGGTGTAGTGGAGTGTGTGTTAAACTGTATTATAATTGCCATAGTATTATTAAATATCAATATCGTATAGTATTAATACCGTTTTGAGCGTTTGTTTTTAACTTAATTCATGGGCAATAGAAGTTGTTCAGTAAAACTTGCTTGTCACTAGTAACTTTGTAGAGCAGACGTCGCTTCGAGTCGAGTTTTCGAACTCTAGTCTTGTTAAAACTCGAGTCGGGGTAACAACTCGAGTTCTTTTCTGACTCGAGTCCGTGCTGCAATGACTCACGCAACTGGAATCCGACTCGTGAGTATTTTAGTGCACCGAACCGCGCGAAATTGAGTCAAATTTATAAATGTAGACTCCCGGACTCGAGTCTTTCTGCAACACTACCAATACGTGGCTTTACGATTATTCAATTAAATCGCAATATCATCTTTCCCGAATATAATGTGTGTAAAAAGCAACCATTTAGAGCAGCGTAATCGTAATTCACACTGTGATTTTTATTATAGACAGTGGTTTTCAAACTTATGAGTTCGGGACCCCGTCAACGAGACATGGGGAACGTGGATGATTGATGTGCATGATAAATTGATAAAATATTGTTTAGTTTTTTTCGTACACAGTAGAGTTAATAAAATTATCCTTATAAAACAACTAAACTTAACGTTCATAGACCGAATAAATTTATCCATAAACTAAGGGCGCGTTCAAATTACGTTTCTAGAAGCGTGTTTTGTTGCGCGTTTGTACCATTTCAACAATTTCTAATTAGCGGGCTTTACACAGACACTCTATCGCGCGTAATACAGCAATCGTGCACGATTGAACGCGCGGATAAAGACGTTGCAAGGAAAAGGAAGGCGCGCGCCATCGCGCACTCCAGCACGCGTCACTTTCACGCGGTCTATCCTGCACTATTAGCCTTTACACAGATGCTCTTTCCGTTATAACAATAACGAACACGATTATTCGCGCGCGAAAGAACGAAGAAGCGCACGGCTGCGTGCAGGCTTTCCCGCGCGCAAACCTGGGCACTCCTGATCACGCGCGATAGAGTGACTGTGTAAAGGGGATTATTGTGACCGCAAAAGTGGCGAGCGCATGTCACGGTAGTGGCGCTGTAACTGCGCTTCTAAATATTGCATGAAAATTAGTTTTGGCGTGATAACAGCCCCACAGTGGCGTCACTGCAGCACTTCTATAAGCGTCTAATTTGAAGGCGCCCTTGTAATACGTCACGAAGTGTAATAATCATACAATGAACCTATTTCAGATCGCAATCAGTATACAGTAAGGCAAGTACAACCCCTGGTGGAGGGTCTCTAGTTGCAGCCCAGTCTCTGTTACTACGACCCCCTACGCATCCTCAGCATGCGCTTACGCATAATCAGAACGCTCATAACGCGCAACGCGACCCTGCTTATGGTATTACGCCTAATGGTGTCCGGCCTGGACCTGCTGGTGAGCATAAATATAATACTTATTTAGACTGGCAAAGATTATGTGAAAAATATGAACTTGCTGGTCATCGCCTTTTTCAAATTTTCAACACGTATCGCTTTGAATTGATGCCTTAAGGATCAGGAATAGGTTCGATATCGAAACAATAAGACTGTTAGTCTTGACGTCTGCAATGGGAAAAGCTTTGTCCATCATTGACAATTAAGAGGCACAATTTTATTCCGGAATTCCCCACACTTATTTAAGTATCGATACAACCTCAAATTTTCGTTTGTAAAAAAATATATTCTCAAATAAAGCCAGTGTCAGATTCAGTACGGGAAAAATTTGAATTCAATTAATTGACTCTTAGGAATTATTGAAATATGTCTGATACTATAATAAATACATACGTAATTCAATTCCAGGAGCAGCAGTCCAAGAGCGAAGAGACTCGGTCTACAGCAGCAGCACTCGCCGCGGTCCACTATCCTCTGACGATAGCGCCTACGGTACATACTCCCGCGCAGCCTACCGTGCGCCCTCTCATCCGCACCCTGCGCCGGAGCATTACTAGCGACGCGCCTCGCAGCACAATATTGCGCTGCTGTTTGATGTATGAACACTCACACACATGTGGTCGACATCCTTGTGTTGTGTACCTAAAACTTTAGTAGTGTTACCCTGAAGACCCAAGATATTTAACGGTGTATGACGGATGGATCAAGATTTTAAAAAATTAGACGTCTCACTGCTTTTTATCGCTTTCATATTTAGGATGTACGAAATGTATTGTGAATAAGACACCCCACCTTTATATAAGCGTCAAAATATTGGTATACAATTTGTCGGCTTTGCGCGCCAGGTACACTTCATTTTTTTATTATACCATTTTCCCGATGAATATAGGTTATACGAGTAGGTCATCTAGATATATCGAGATAGGCCACTACTCTAGAAAGCTGTCAATTTGTGAAAGGTGTTGATTCAACCCGGTGGAACTTGGGGTATAGTCAGTTAACTATAACTGAATACGGGTGTTCCAAAAACGGTCAAATACAAAATTTTTTTTATCTACATTAAGAAGCGGAGAAAGCCGAGTTTCAGCAATTTTTTTTTTTTTGCAATCCTACTGTTACACGCTATAACGATACCTCCAATGAACACTACCCCAACTTAAATTTAGGACCACTCCTGGTTTTTTGTTTCATTCATTTTTTTTTTACAAAATGCAAATTCTTTTCGAATTTTGTTTTTTGTTCCTTTTTTTCACAAAATTCGGGGAATCTAATGTTAGTAAATAAATATTACTGTTTACAAAAATAACAGAAAATGACCAAAAAATAAAGTTAGCGTAGTGTTAATTGGAGGTATCGATATTTTGTCCCTTGTTTTGTATTTTGTTCTTATGTGCAATAAAGATTGTATTGTTTCTTTACTTGGACTAACTTGCGGCGTGAAGAAGCCACAATAACAATGTACTAGAGATAGCAGAAATACAACTTATAATACTCCGCTTTCGTAGATAATGAGCTTAAGTTACATTTATTGTATTCCGCTAAGCAATTTATATCAAGCTATTTTGCAACAGCAAAGTAATTGAGGTCGTCAAGCTTTATTATCTATTACAAATATACAGACTAAAATATTCTCTTAAAAGTTGAAAATAATCGTTGAAGACACATACATTTGTTAAAACTTAGGCAATAGGTGGTCATATTCCCCTGTGATTTCGATAAAACTATTCCATGTTACTCGTAGTGCTTCATTTAAGTATTTGAAATTGTTATAAATTTTAATTAACGCGGACCAAATAAATCCAAAATAGTGTATGTATAATTATAATTAAGTTTAATGTCTCACCTATTAATATTAAAATGACTAGTTACATACTTCTACATTATGTATTTAAATAAGTTATATGAAAAAAGTATCAAGTAAATTACAGTCTAGACTGGATGAAAGTAAATCGAACAAATAATTAAAATGAACTTTTCTTCAATATGCTCGGAATTATTCGCTTTTCTTTTGAAGAATTTTAAATTTTCACCCATTTATTTGGGTAGGCAAAGGTTCTTTCCTTTTTTTAAGCCTCATTTTTGCCACACTACAAAATTAAAAATAAATCATAATAAAAATAATAAATAAATCATAATCATATATTGCAAGGTATTAGCTTTATGCAAACTCACAAAAAGTCACCTTATAAATAATAGTGCGTGTCACATTTAAATTATTATAGTGAATTTGGTTCAGCAATATAATATGTTACGTCAATATATCTTATGACGTTTTGAGCTTGAATAGTCCAGTGGCCTTACCATGAACTCTTATTACGATTCAGTTTAGGACCTAAAATGAATCGTTATGAGACAGCGCTACATGAAGTGTATATCACCATCCCGCTTTTTTGTCGTTACGAACCTATATTGAACTGTAATAAGAGTTCAATAAGAGGCCCCGGCCTAGTCCGGAAACTCCGTATAAAAATACATTTTTTATTAAAGCTTAGCTAACTTTTGAGTAAATATTTAATTTTGTCCATTGTATACAGTCTCGAAGTTGATAAATAAACTAAGTAAATAAAAAACCATACAGCCAAGACATCAGTCCGGTTTTTTTAGCACTAAGTCTGTTTTGAAAAGGTCTAAGCTTAGAAAAAAAATTAAAAAAGTTGAATAAGCACAGCAAAGGATGGAAAAAATCTTATGTTGCACAGTTTCAGATTCGCTCTGGACCTTTTGGAGGGAAAAGTGTCGTTTTTATTTTGACTTTCAATTATTTTGTGAAATCTAGTTTAAAGTGGAATAGGATAGTGCTATTGTGCCTTAATCGAAGATTAAAACGCGAAATTATACGAATCTCGAAATAAAATACCCGTATCGGCCCGTTTTAAGGAATCCCGAGTCAATCCAAGCACGCCGCCTCAAATTGCCTATCCTCTTTGTGGCGGCCATATTTACAGAAACATATTTAAACTTCATGTTTAGGCTGATGGCTTTGCCCAAGCCTTAATAAATTTAAAAAAAAAAAAAAAAAAATTGCACAGTTTCAAAATGAGTTTTAAAATGTAAGGTCTGGCAGTATGGCTAATTAGAAGCCTTTTAGCCCAGTGAGCATTTTAATATCATTGTTTTAGCCTGTCCCAAAACAATTTTACTAAAATTGCACAATGTGTTCGCTTACCCGCTTTTTAGTGACTTATTTTTTTTAAAACATTTGCATCATTTCCTTGCATTTATTGAGAAAAGCTCTATATACCTTGGCGGGAACGGGGATTGCCTGACTCGCATAATGCAGCCTCGTCGGCGCTCGGCCTTGTAACTCATACTCGTTGCGCAATTCTTTACTTTCTTACCTCTCTCTGTAATCGTATACAATTTTCGAAATACCTACATGCACTTATAAAAAGCTACAATTCCTTGGTAAGTCTATTATCCAAGTACATCTTCCATGTTATGAATGTGCCATAAAATATGCCTACCTAAGTAGGAGCAAGAGCTTTACGCAAAACCAAGAGGCTATGATTTTAGTTTGATAATCTATATGCATAATAGAAATGTACTCTTAAGATTAAGTAAAACACATTGATTAAAACATTAATAAAAGTTAATGTTTTGTGGTTAAAAAGCTTCTTCCTTAAGCTAAAAAGCTTCCGTAGTCGGATAAAATATTGAAGATGTAGAAGTTGCGATGGAAAATTAGTTAAAACTTTAGTTTTGTACGAAATAAATTTTCATCATTTAGTGTATTAAAAAAATAAGACGTAAACTAGACATTTAACAATGTTTAATTCGAAAGACTTACTAGTTTAGGTTAAAGTAGATATATAGTTATTTGTATTAATATGTACATAATTCGTTATTAGTTAGGTTGATAATTAAAAAATATTATTAGGTATAATTTAGGTTTTAAATAGAATGGTTAAATTACTTCATAATGTATTAAATCAGCTATGAAATAGTAATTACGCAAAGATGTCAGAATATAACCGTGCTATGCAGTCAACGTCAATTCTACGACCTTGTATACTTGCATCATTTTAGCATATCACATGTTCACAGCCTGACACCGACGCGTAACATACGATTTCCTATGCTCGTGTCATATTAATTCGTACGTTTTTATTAATATGATTTCGGACTAAAAAAATCTTCATGTTCCTCATTAATCGAGTGGTCTGATACGCTAAACTGATACAAATATAGACCAAGTATTATTAACGTTTACAATTTAATATTAAATTAACGTGGATATTGCGAGATTGTTAACATTCAAAGTTCTTTATCAAAACATATCTTTAACTCCCTAAGAATATCAACCAAGACCTTCCACTGTAAAAGAAATCAAAGGAACAACCATATTATTACTAGCCATTTACTAGCTGATTATCTTCTTCCAACTATTGTTAGTATTCAAATAATTATAAAAGTACGAAAATTACTGCTCTTTAGGTACATAAGTTTTCAATAAACTATATTGGTGGAGATATAAGAAACAACGATTGTATCTACGTTTTATTCTAAAATAAAACAATATTACTGACCTGCTGCATTTTTCATTTACAATCACCTAACCCCAATATCTATACAACCAAACAATAGTGGAGTAGATCCATAGAATAATCTATTTGATCGTAGAAATCAAATCAAGCAGTGGATACTAAAGATTTTATATTATTAAAGATTTACTTTGTAATGAGACGTAAAAAATTAAAAAGTTTGTGTACTTAATATTAAATGGAGAGAAATAAAAACCTTTAATAGCAGCAACACACATTTTATTGTGAAGCACATCGTATTACTGACACCTCATAAAAACGTATTGCATGCTCCGATTTTCCATTTCGTATAAATCTCAAATAACTTGCGGTCTAATTTTTAACCAAACATCGTTAATCACCTTACCTAGTGCACATTTTAAATGTGAGATGTAGTTTCACCATTTTATAATAATAAGCAGTGTATTTCGATTATTACTAGCGTGGAACTGGTGTTTTTTTACAGATCACACCTTTTTGTAAGATCGCGTACAGGATAGTTAAAAATTAGCCGCTTGTAAAGATTTCAGACCCAATTTTCTCGTTTAGCAAATCTTTTTGACACCTTAACCGATTTCATATTTCCACCAACAATATTGCTTGGTCAATCAAAAATCTTTTCGAATAAACTAATACGTACCATAGAAACTTTGAAAAGCATAAGCTTAACAAACCACTTTCTTGCCATTTATTTTTCACCGATAGAGTTATTGCAGTGCTACAAATATTTATCTGAATTAAATATTAATCATCCCACAATTGCAAACAATTGAAAATAACACCTATTAATAATGTTTTTAAAATAAAGTTTATTTCATTACGAAATTGCTTATAAATATTTATCATAAGTAATAATTATTACTTGCTATTGACAATATATAAATATACAAGCATTTATTAAAATACAAAGCCTGTTAAAAAAACAATATTCCTTATGGTTTGGGTGGAAAAAATATCATTAGCACGACCTCTTATTGTGCTAACAAAATTATTTATAGTAAAAATGTTTATTAAAACTCTAAGCTATTAAGTCGTATTACAAGGCAACCCTAGCAATTGAAAAGACGACCAACAGACTTGGCATTAGCACAAACAGACAAAACTTGCGAGAGTATATAAAGTTTTTCGGTACTATTGTAGTAGTAGTGTGCGCGGAAGTCACCCTCGCGATCGTAGAGTAATATAGTGTATCTTTTGTCCATACCCTTTGTCTTTGAGATCATGCTAAGCGTACAAGGGAACATATTGATATCAGTAATTGATGATTAGACAAAAACCAATTGATTTCCGGCACGTCGTTGTCAGAGCAGTCACGGCTAGTATACTCGACACGGAAAGTACACTTTTTTAATTACAAGGAGGATACATGATACGCTTTTTCTTAATTAGCCACAGTTGTCCCATAGCAAAGGCCTACCCTATGCTTTTCCATTCGTCCTTGCACCGTGCCTTTGTGGTACGTAAAATAATATATACAAAAACTAATTCACAATCGCGATCATTGTTGAAAAGATAAATCTCGGTGCGTATTTTTTACACAACAAGTTGTTTCGTTCTAATATATTATGCATCGAGTATATAACCAGAA